TGAGCATGGGTAAACAATGAGCCCAGGGAACGATGAAAAAAAATTGCACCGCCGAGAGAGAACGATATAAAACGTCAGAATAAAAAAAAGAACCAGTGAATTCTGGGAAGACGATTAGGAGCGATCAGATAAAGCGAGCGGCCGCTGCCGGGAGCATGTCGTTTCCCAGTCGAGTTCCACCCGACTTTCGACTTAATTAGCCGTCTCTGTCGCTCTGATTTTGCCAGCTTCGCCACCTAACCGGAGTCAATGATGCTCGACCGAACGACCAATCACAGTCCGCGGAATATTTAAATTAATGCCTCGCAATTTCAACAATTCGAACTCCGCGGATCCGCGGGAAATCGATAAATCAAGGACCACGTAAAATGAAAAGAAAAGCGTACTTTATTATCCAAGCACTTCTGCTAAATTTTTTTGTTAGAACTGCCAAGGTTTTTCAATAAAGTTATACGTTTTCCAAACATAATTCATCTTGCAACAATTTTATAGACTTAAAGTAACTTTTATGTTGCGAAATTTACCTTTCACTCAATTCGGTTTTTACACGGTAGATACGTTCCAGAAAAAAAAGTGTTAAAAAATACCGTGTAAAAAGAAACATCGACAAGTAATTTTTTCATCCGTGCTAAACCGAATGAAATTGCGTAAAAGGGACATTGAATTAATTTTTCTAGACCATGCAAAAAACAGAATTGGATGTATTTCTATGTATAGAAATATATATATATGATATAATATATATAATATATAATAATATAATAATATAATAAATAATAAATATAATAATAATATAATAATATAATAAAATAATATATAATAATATAATATATAATATATATAATATAATAGAAAATAGACATTATATGCAAATAAAGCTTTTCTTGGTTTCTGTTCAAATATCGGTAAAAATATAGAAGTTACTTTTTTATAATTATGCACAATGTATGATTGAAAAAAAGAACTAACAACTTCAAACTACGATAAAGTGAAAGTATGGCAGCAGTTCCGTCTTCGCAGATAAAATTCTTTCACCGATAAAATCGTCTCACAGATAAAATCAATTGACGATCCAGGAAAAACATTGTGCGCAAGTTACTGTAACGTTACAAGGGCTCGTTTTACTAGCCACGGTATCCGAGAATATGGTTTCACCATATAGGGTTCTGACGAGCAACATTGCAGCCCTTTTCGCGAAAACGATCGCGAAATTTCGAGCCTCTCGACTCGATTGAATTAGCGGGGGTCACGAGCGAGGTATGCGAGCGCAGAGGCGGTTTGCACGAGTCCGTGAAATTGCCAGGGAAATTTGCATCGGATTAATTGTATATTGGTAGACAAAGGTAGTTGGTGGGCGAGCAGCCAGGCTTCAGATTGCTCGCGAAACAGATCCCGATCCTATTCCGCGCCTTCACCTGTCTCTGCCGTGCAGCGCTCGCAGATAGGATCAGCGAAAAGTACCTGTCGCGTTACGAAATTCCCTCGACGGGCACACGGTTGTTTCTCGTTCGTTCATTTTTTTCTCCCTCTCTCTCTCTCTCTCTCTCTCTCTCTCTCTCTCTCCTGTCTCTTATACACTTCTAGATGTGTATAAGAGACAGCTCTCTCTCTCTCTCTCCTGTCTCTTATACACTTCTAGATGTGTATAAGAGACAGCTCTCTCTCTCTCTCTCCTGTCTCTTATACACTTCTAGATGTGTATAAGAGACAGCTCTCTCTCTCTCTCTCCTGTCTCTTATACACTTCTAGATGTGTATAAGAGACAGCTCTCTCTCTCTCTCTCCTGTCTCTTATACACTTCTAGATGTGTATAAGAGACAGCTCTCTCTCTCTCTCTCCTGTCTCTTATACACTTCTAGATGTGTATAAGAGACAGCTCTCTCTCTCTCTCTCCTGTCTCTTATACACTTCTAGATGTGTATAAGAGACAGCTCTCTCTCTCTCTCTCCTGTCTCTTATACACTTCTAGATGTGTATAAGAGACAGCTCTCTCTCTCTCTCTCCTGTCTCTTATACACTTCTAGATGTGTATAAGAGACAGCTCTCTCTCTCTCTCTCCTGTCTCTTATACACTTCTAGATGTGTATAAGAGACAGCTCTCTCTCTCTCTCTCCTGTCTCTTATACACTTCTAGATGTGTATAAGAGACAGCTCTCTCTCTCTCTCTCCTGTCTCTTATACACTTCTAGATGTGTATAAGAGACAGCTCTCTCTCTCTCTCTCCTGTCTCTTATACACTTCTAGATGTGTATAAGAGACAGCTCTCTCTCTCTCTCTCCTGTCTCTTATACACTTCTAGATGTGTATAAGAGACAGCTCTCTCTCTCTCTCTCCTGTCTCTTATACACTTCTAGATGTGTATAAGAGACAGCTCTCTCTCTCTCTCTCCTGTCTCTTATACACTTCTAGATGTGTATAAGAGACAGCTCTCTCTCTCTCTCTCCTGTCTCTTATACACTTCTAGATGTGTATAAGAGACAGCTCTCTCTCTCTCTCTCCTGTCTCTTATACACTTCTAGATGTGTATAAGAGACAGCTCTCTCTCTCTCTCTCCTGTCTCTTATACACTTCTAGATGTGTATAAGAGACAGCTCTCTCTCTCTCTCTCCTGTCTCTTATACACTTCTAGATGTGTATAAGAGACAGCTCTCTCTCTCTCTCTCCTGTCTCTTATACACTTCTAGATGTGTATAAGAGACAGCTCTCTCTCTCTCTCTCCTGTCTCTTATACACTTCTAGATGTGTATAAGAGACAGCTCTCTCTCTCTCTCTCTCTCTCTCTCTCTCTCTCTTTCTCTCTACCTTGTCGGTGCTACCGGCTTCTATAGCCTCCCCGAGCAAAATTGGCTCGATAAAAAATTCTATTACCTATAATGCGACCTCTCGCGAGATTGGCATCTTTTTCGAAGAAAATTTGGGTCACAGCTCGCGTTACACCTATTCGCGGTATGCAATTTTCGATGTACCTTGAACGTAGGGGAAGCCTGGAGAAAGGAATGCGAGATTTTGCCGGATCAAAGTAACTGCGTTTTATGCGATTTTTATGCGGCGGACGACCTGATAAATTATTCACGCGCCGCGGCTAGAGTTTTGTTTGAAATTAAACAAGTTGCGGACGTATGCGACGTGTTCCTCTTTCAGTAATTCACGAGGGTTCTGTTGTCATGCCGCGAAAATAGAAGTTGAAATGTTTCCCGCAATTTCTGCGCTTGCTTCGCAGCGGAAATGCATCGTGTATCGCGAAGTGAATCCTTTCGTGTTCGGAACAGTTATTTTTATCTTTCCGCATCTGTGGAACATTTCATCCTCGTAAGACTGTGTTAAACAGAATTTTACTAACCAATATTAACTGTGCACGCTACTTCAAAACGACGCTAATTAACGCAGTTCTATCGAATCGAGCAGATTGGAATAATTGTTGAAAAAAGCCATGGAACTGTGAACATAAATTGTCTCGATGCATTGACATCCAATAATAATCTTATATGCTACTGTATAACGAAATCAATTAACAGAGTTTTATTGCACTTTTTTCAGGAAATGATTTGATTCCTATTTTTAATTGTTTTTAATTGTTTAGGAACTTTCGCAGCACCCATTTCAATTAATTCGATCGAACGCACGTTGAGAACAATGACGAACACAGTCCGATGGATTTGATGGAAATTTATGCGAAGCCCATTTGCAGCAGAAATTTCTTACCGAAGAACGAATCCGAGGGATTAGCGGCGGTGTTGCGTGTGCCTACATGAGAACGGAAAAACGTGTCGTACGGGCTGCTCCACCTCCGTCTGCCAGCGGTCCACTCCTTTCGCGGTGGGTTAATGGGCGGAGCCAAGGACGTCGTCTGTTGTCAAACTGTCACGGCGACGTTCGACTGTCCTTTATTACGATGCATGTTCTTAATTCCTTATTTGTATGCGAGTGCCTCGGGTAAGTGGTGTTTTCTTCGAACAATCGTGTCCTAGTCGAATAAAAATAGCATGGAAACCGCATTCTTACATCTCGCGGCATCCTGCGCGTTCGCGATCCTCGGCAACTGCGAGTCATTCCTATGACGTGAACACTGGATACTGCACCCGAAACGAGCCAAAAGGTTGCGACTTAATGAACAGAAATTCCCTAAAACGCATAAAACGCAGCGCGAAAGTTGTCAGACTCGAAAACGCTAAAATGTTCAATATTCCCGATGAAAAGAAGAGTCCTGTGATTCATTGAAGTTGTATGCAGGAGGATTTAATCCCGGGGTCACTGAAGACCCCAGGCTAAATGTACGCACACTTTTGTATTCGCAAGATTGTTTTAGCTCGTTTGTAAAATTTCGATTATAGATCTGAAAGTGTCCGGAGTCCACAGAATTTCGGCCAGGTCGAAAGCGACACTTCCCAGAAAGAAAGTGCAGGTTTGGGGATTGCACAGGCGAGGTTTCGGTGCATCGGGAGTCGGGTAGCGCAGCAAACATTTGCGCCGGCGGGATGCACTCGCGTTCCAGATGTCACCGAGCCCCGAACCCTCGATTCCCGTCGAATCTCGCGGTCGATAGAGGAGCCCCGTGGTCTCGAGGATGGGCGAAACTGCGCGCTCCATGCATAGAAGCAACCGGGAGCGTGGCCTCTGGATTTCTTGCCGAGCTATACCCCCGACGGTGTCTGTGTCGGGAGTAGTGGCGGCTAGGTGCGCGCACGACGAACGAAAACGGGCCTCGGACAGGTAGAGAGAACACCTCCGCGAACGCCGTCGCCCCGAGGGCGTCGGACGTCGGTGGGCGTGGCCCGGCCTCGGCGCCGCCTACTCGGCCACCATAATGGCCTCCGCGCAGCCAACGCGGTCGCTTGACGTCAGCTCGGCGCGGTAGGGGGAAGGGGCTCGACCCAATCCGGTGCGACGGTAACGGGCGATCGGGGCGTGGCCTTGAGTGGCGCCACCGCGGCGACTTTCGGAAACGGTGCACCGGGCTCCGGGGAGAGGCTCCGGCTTCATTATGTATCATTATACCGGTCCGCGCCGCGCGGTGTGCACTGCAGTTACTGGGCCAGGCGCGCGTGTGTGCTTTTCTCTCTTCTTCGTCGTGGTCGTCGTCGTGGTCGTCTTCTTCTTCTTCTCTTCTTCTTCTTCTTCCTCTTCTTCCTCCCTACGGTGGCCGGTATCGGCGCGTATCGTCGCGGCCGTTCTCGTCGACACCAGGTCGGCCGACACGATGCTCCACGGCGAGTAATCACCGCGAGCCGCGTGGAAAACGCATTTTGCTGGCTGGCCGAGCGGAGAGCGTGTGTGCGCGCGCGCGCACGCCAGTGTCATATCATCATCGTCGGGCGACGTACAATTAAATCACGACCGGAGAGCGGTGTTCGCGCGAGTGTGCTGTCAGAGAGAGAGCAGTGGGGTCGACAGATTACCGGTTCCCGTCGGAGAAGCTGGACCGACCCGTTCATCCGGGACACCCGACGTCCTCGCGGTTCGGTTTCCGGTCGCCCCGTGGACCGGCGGGATTTTTATTTTCGCGCGAGTGCCGCGAATCGGAGCACGGTCCCAGTGTAAAACATCCTCGATGGACGGTGACGTTTTCCCATCATCATCATCATCGTCGTCGTCGTCATCAACAGCAACAGCAGCAGCAGCAGCATCGACATCACCGTCTTCGTCATCGTTCTCGGTGGGCCGCCGCGCAGTGAAACGATCCAGCATGGACTTGTATCAGCAGGGTCCTCTCCGCGAGTGACCATCGCCGCAAACATCCACGACCGTGTCTGACTCTGGATCGATCGCGCGCGGTCCGTCGCGCACAGATACGCGGGTGTAACAGTGGTTCAAACTCGGACTCGACGATAGTGTCTTACATATAGGTGACTCGATCGGTGACAATCGGTGGCATCGTCGTGACAGTGAAGCAACGCCGATTAATCATCAGTCTGTTGTGCGTCGATGTATCAATCCTGCCCATAGCGGTCGTATCGGTTCGCAGCCCGGCTCGGTGGATTGGACCTTGGTCCCCATAGAGGCCCCAAGATTCGTGCGCCGTACGGTGTTCGCGCGTCGGCGGCGGCGACGACGTCGTCGGCGAGTTTGTCCGCTCGAACCGTGGGCTGTGGCGGCGGCATCGACGTCGCGACTAAGGTGGAGCGTCCGGGCAGCACGACGACGCTCAACTTCACGGACCTGGGGAGCCCATTCGGGGCGGGCGACCCCTGTCCGTCTAGTACCCCGACCCCGAACAGCATGTCGGGCGGCGGTGGACCATCCGCGGGCGGTGGCGGCGGCGGCGGTGGCGGCGCGGGCGCCGGCGGGGCCGGCTCCGACATGGAGCAGCATCTTCATCACACCGGGCTCGGATCGGTGACACCTGGCCCGCCGGGCGGGAACGGCGGGGACAGCACCGCGTCCAGCACCCCGGTCTCCCAAAGCGGCAAGTCCGCGTTCATCGAGCTGCAGCACAATAATCTGTATAATCCCGCGAGTTTGCGTGGAGGTTACCCCGGCGGACACAATGTGCCCGGCGCCCATCAGTTCTCGCACCAGGTCGGCGCGCTCGGCCATCAAACGTCCGGACCTGGCAGCGGGAACCAGCAACACGCAGAGGCAGGATTCCCCAGTCCTAGGTCCGCGCTAGCCGGATATCCGTTCGCGCCCATGCACCAGCACAACGCCTACGGATATCACCTGGGATCGTACGCGCCCCAGTGCCCCTCACCGCCCAAGGACGGTGAGTACCCCAACTGTATGTATTCGCAGCCTTTTTTATTCCTACTTTTATAATAGACGATAGTTAACCCAGATCGGCTGTCCTTGTTCCTGCAAACCGCTGGATCACCGCTTCCGTTTGCCGCCCGATTTCGTAACGACCGAGCCGTCGCGTCGCTCGACGGTCTTTCGTGTTTCGGAGCTGGGAAATCGACACTCCGGTTAGCCCTCGACTCGCCGGCTAGGTGACGGTCCGTTTCGTCCGATGAACAGATCTGCGGAGTTTCGAGGGTTAAAGTCTGTGTGCACAGGCGCGTGGAAAGAAATCGCGAGGAGACGGACTTTTGGCGATTTCAGGGGCCGTATTCACAGGCGAGTCTTGTCGATAAGACTGGCTTTTAACACGAATTCTTGCCGATATTTTGTATTATTCAATTTACCGAGTTAATTTCGTGACCACTGTGGCAACAGTGAAGCGATTACATTGGAAACATAGAAAATAATCTATATCAAAAATTATTAGAAAATGTCCTTTAACCCGTTTCGTAAAAATGGTGTCGAATAGAAATTATTAAAAGGTGTCTTGCGACATCGTCGGTAGAAATAACGTTGAGCATGGTCTGCTTGAGGTTGTTCTCAAGAAAAATCTCAAGTACCGGCTACGAGTCTAGGTAGCGTCTTAAAAGCATGACGGACATAAGACTCGAATACGAATACGGCCCCAAGTAGCTGTCACCCAAACGGTAGATACATTCTTGAAGGGTTGATTGGCTTCGGTGTAAAACAATCAACTCGTCTGCAAATTGTCCACTGAACACTTCTAAACAAAGAAGACGGGACAACGTTACGAGTGAAGCTCGGAGATTGACCTAAAAGTGACAGAAAATTGCCGAAGCTAGTTAATCAATGTGTGCGATCATTAGACTGCAGGAACAGGAGCCACTTGGAAGTTTTCGTCTCCCTTTAATGAACTTTGATAAATTGAACATTTAGTTTCAACATTCCTCGATTCTTTAATCTGTTTCCCACTTCAAATGGCTTCTGCTCATTCTTGTCATAAATGCATACAATCCGCAGCCTGTGCAATTCGGTTAACGCGGAAAACGCGGGTGCTTCTCTTTCTACGTGTCCGCGCGCGATGATCGTCTTCGACGCGTTCACTGTCCCGTGTGAACGCGTCGAAGAATGATCCGATTCGGAAATGAATGAAGGAAGTGCACGCGTAAGCCAACTGCAGACTGTTAATTTCCAAGCTCCCGGCCGACGCCGTGAAAACGCGAAGGAGTGTACGGGCATTTTACGCGTGAACGGAGGCTGTGTTCGAACGATTTCACGGGGCATGGACCCGTTGAAGAGCACACGGGTCAGATTAGTATACCGTTCTCCGACGGATCCACCCTCGGAACGTCGGGCGTATGTCCCGCGTTTTGTTCAGAATGTCTTGGAAGCGTCGTTTCCGACAACGGATTCGAGGCTATTCACCGTATGCTCTTCGGGTATAAGTTAGGGATAAGTGTAGCGACTAGTGGATACCGTTCTGCCAGCGCTTAGATGCAGCGTGTGGATCCTTGAAAATATTTGGAGAACTGTGGAGAGATTTCCGATTTGACAGCTAGCCGAGGAAGTCACTGTCGTGCGACAAGTTTGGCGTCAGGGAAAATAAAATACTTCTTTTCGTTGGAATTCCGAGCATTTTGGTTGTCGATATCGTTCGGTAAATACCGCGAGCATTCTCAATGAAATTGTACACGAGGCATAACTTCTTGAAATCCTTGGTACGATCACAAAATGGGGAACAAAGTGTCAGAAGTATTGATATTCGCGTGTATCGTAGATTAGCAGTCGAGTTATTAGAAAAAGGGTGCAATCGAGTCTACTCCGATTGACAATTATCGAGGGCTAATCTGTCGCTAAGATCTCCTCGAGGCTACGAAATGAAATAACAGAGGGTTTCACATAAGCTTTAGAAGATAATAAATCATCCTGTCAGGTTGAACACGTATATTGTTGAGGAATATTTCGTCATAGCTCCGTTCAACCTTTTACACTCTGGTTGCGAGCGGAGACAATCGTCGTATTCTCCGAGGAGAACGGTGTTAAAATCATGGTAAAATGATTCGTGAACGTATTTTGTGGAAGATTTGCTACAAAATTGTTGAAGAGGCCAGTGTACAAGTTCGTCCATAGTGCTGTTTGCTCCGAAAAAGTGATCGTTAAAACAGTGAATATTCTAGGAGGGACTCCTTTGTCAAACATTCGATTCCGTTAGAAGTTTACAAAATGATTTATACATATAGCGGAGTGGTGCAACATATGTATTAAACATTGCTTTCGTAATCTTCCTTATGCGTATTCATCGTGTCACAATTATGCATATGTATCTAACAAAAATGAATTCGAACCACGAACAGCGAAAAAACAATGCCGAGAACCGTCACTTTGATGAATGCGTTAATCGTGCGGAATCCAGATATCAGTTTTCATCATTTCAAACGTCGATTCCACGGAGAACAGACATCGATTTGCATCTTTTTTTGCTAAAAGTTCCAAGTTCAGTGATGAAATGACGCAAAATGGAGTAGCGGCGACTAAAATGTCAACGGCGTTACCGCCATTCCACCGAATCCATCGATTCCAAGTACAAACATCATCGAAGGTACCATGTTCGGTGATCGAGTTTCACTAATGATCACGAATTGCCAAAATCCAAGTATCTTCTTCAAAAAAAGCGAACGCAATAATATTAATAAATTTATCGATCGACGGGATAAACCGTTGTTACAGCGAGAGAATAATAATGTAGTAATCACGCAAGGACGGATGAAACAACAAAAACTTAACCTTATTAGTGCCGATCAAAGGAGTCATATGTACCTAAAAAAAATATACGCCTAAATATACGCCATCTCGTAAAGAGTGAACATATTTTACACGTTCCTCGGCGAACAAAAAGTACTTATTCCAAGTAAAACAGTGAAAAGTGTAACCTTTATTCCCGTAACAATACAGGGTCTCCCAACATCGGTGACAAAACCGAGAAGTGGTTGATTCTACGTTAATAAACAAATCGAAAACAAGGAACACGATTCTTTCATTTGAGGCTCCGTTGTCGAGAAAATCAACTTTGAATATTCAACGAGCACGCGTATAAGTAGCTATGGTTTAGAATGATGGATCTCGATAGAGGTCATATGTCAGTTATAAATACTAACAATATAATCAGTATGAACATGACGTATAGTGTGTTACCCATTCCTGTTTATGGATTTCGAGTGGATTTCAATGAAAATAAAGCTCGTAATTTAGTTACCATCTTCGGTCATTAATGCGAGCACTGTTGAAAATGCTGGATATTCAAATTCGGTTTCGCGATAGCGAAGCCTCTCAACTGAAACAGAAACTACATTCTTTATATTCGATATAACCCTGTACAATTCTAACGTAGACAATAAGCAAACGGTTCAGAAATTATCCAAGACCATTTCGTGCGAAACATTTCATTTGCGCTGAGCGAATGTCCGAATCGCAGAAATCAATCGACAAGAAATCGGCGGCCGTTGCTAAAACGCGTCTTGGTCTACACGGAGATGTTCCACGGAGATGTCCCGCCGCGTTGGGCCATTCGTCACAGCCGGGCGCGAAATCTGTGTCGTAAACCTGTATGCTGATTCCGGCACGGCGAGAAGAGGAGCGCGACCGAAAAAAGGGAACGAAAACGGAAGAGGGAATCTAGAGTAGCAGGTAGCGGTGGCGGTCGTCGGCCCGCCGCGCGTCGGCCGGGCACAATAACGCCGTGCCAGAGCGGAATAAGATATACGACTAGGAAAGAGAATCCTCTTGGGACCCCGAAAAAGTCCCGCAAAGCGGCTAACGAACGAAACAAAAAGCCCCGGGCTGAATGGGAATAGTCGCGGGTCTGGCCGCGGCTTGTTCCTCCACCTTCTCGAGAGAGGCGCTTCTGGATATTCAGACCGAGCAGATACGCAACTGTTCTTTTCTCCTCTTCGCCGGCCGTTCTTCTCTTCCTCCTTTTTCTCCACGCTGTCGCCCATCTGGAATCGCATTAGCGCGACTCGATCGCGACTTTTCTGCCGCGCGTGAAATCGCCAGTCAGCTAATTGCGTTTCTCGTTAACGGTCACCTTCTGTTTTCGTGTCGCCGCCACCGGCTTCCTGGTCGATGCGGATTATCGATCCATAAACCGTGACAGATCGATCGGAGATGTTTGCAGATGAATCTTGTTTGCGCGCGGCCGCTTCCGACCAGAATCTAACGCTGCTTCTTGCGGGCCGCGGTTTTTGATCGGGAACGCTGTTCGATAAGAAAGGAACTGCTTTTTCCGAACTCTGTGATCTGCTTCCTCGTATCGCTGAAAGGCTGTATAGTCCATTGTGGGGCACGGAAGAGAGGAAACTACTGTTCTTTTGGCTATATCGTTTGAAAATTAACTGGATGTAGTCCACGAGATGATCTAACAGTGAAAGGATCTAGTTCCCGATGATAACACATCGTTGTATCAAATCAGATCTGATCTCCTCTTACAAACTCCTTAATGACACTGTTGTATCGCCAGAAATACTTTCCATGATCAATTTAATAACTGAAAGGGAACATTATAGCTTTATACGTCAGGAGTTTCATTTTTCTTTAGATGGTTCGTATAACTGCGTTTGTCCTATAATTATCAACGTCGACAAGTCTTACTAATATCTGGACTACTTCAACTTATGTAATTCACATAAATTTATATCTTCTATTGGCGTATATATTTCGTTCAAAGTTTATTTATCTTATGAGTTTATAAGTTTATAAGTTTATAAGTTTATAAGTTTATAAGTTTATAAGCTTATAAGTTTATAAATTCATAAGTTTATAAGTTCATAAATTCATAAGTTCATAAGTTTATAAATTTATAAGTTTATATAAGTTTATAAATTTATAAGCTTATAAGTTTATAAATTTATAAGCTTATAAGTTTATAAGTTTATAACATCATAAATTCATAAGTTTATAAGTTTATGAGCTTATAAGCTTATA